GGTGTTAAGTTCTACCACATGTTCAGTATGTTGTTACTTTACTTCCTAGAAAATTGGGAGATCAGTTTGGATTAGGATCGCTGAATGAGGGCCTAAGACTTTAAAACACCTCTCTCTAGCTTCTACCTTCCCAGAAGACACCAATCACTATAATAGCTGTTAAAAACAGTGGGAAAAAGCTTCCCTTGGTATGCAGTAAATTATATATATATAAAGAGAAACAGGCGAAGGAACTGCATGCTACATAATTAACATGATTTGCAGCTTGACCCAATTTCTTCTTGCCTGATGCAAATTGTTGAGAGGGTAAATTAAGAAGGCCTGTGATAAATTTGGAGATGCTTTATCCATCCTTCAATTTGACATGCTGCATCCTGACTTCTACTGGAGTGAGGCCATAGCGCTATTCCAGTACCACATAGTTACTTTGGCTGCCATCTTTGGGTACTACAAAGTTCCTTTGAGTCCCTAAAGGAATTCTCCACATGAATGCTACAAGGAAGCCTGAAACAGAGGAGAAGTCCAGTGAAAATAGTAGCTGAGTAGTACTGGAGTAGCTGAGCAAATCACATCAGACAAACTGAATGTATGTTATGCCCTTAGCAGTAGACTTAGAGGGTCTGTCATTCTTCTTGATCAGCAGTTTGTATGTTTATTTAGTGGGTTTTTTTAGTATGAATATTTGCTTCCATAACACAATATGAATTCTGGCACTCTGTTTTCCAAATTGTCATTCTGATGCTACTGTAGAGTTGCTTCTATATATATAAAAAGTGACTCCCCCAAATGGAGTCTTACAGAGAACTTATTAATAAAACTATGCCTCCATAACTAAAAATCCAGATAGATCCACAAGAGTTTTTGAAATGACAACATCTCAGAAAAGGTTTTATTTAGTAACTAAGAAACTACTTGGCAACAGTGCAAAGAATAGCTAGGTCATCTATTTCTTCAGGGCAGGATTTTCCATCCTAGAGTGAGGCATCTGCCTCATGTGGCAGGTTGTGAGATGATGGGAAGCAGGGAAGCTGTGGAGTGATGACAAGGTTAAAAGATCAGAGCTGTGTGTGCTGGGCATCTCCTTTGGTGCCCCCTGAGTAATTCAGCTCCTTTCAAATGACCTGTCTCATCATCAGCACTGCGGTAAAATCCAGCTGCCAGACCAGTTTGCTCTTATAGGTAGAAGAGGAACAGCACCACCTTGTCCTCTCCTTCAACCAGTAAAATGTGTTAGGCTTTTCTCTAAAATTCTCCCAGTAAAAGATGTTAAGGCCTCTGTGAAGACTCAGAGCATATTTACTTTACATCATTATAGCATTTTGACTCGATTTTAAATGCTATGGTCTCATTTTGTGGAACCCATCTAAAACACAGACATGTACCTTTCATCTCAAGAACAGAGAAGCATCCCAAGCTCTGAAGATCACCTGGGAAGGAATCCTACTGAAGCATTGCAGCACACCCAAATACCTGGGAGTCACTCTGGACCGTGCTCTTACCTACAAGAAGCATTGCCTGAACATCAAGCAAAAAGTGGGTGCTAGAAACAATATCATACGAAAGCTGACTGGCACAACCTAGGGATCACAACCAGACACAGTGAAGACATCGCCCTGGCGCTATGCTACTCTGCTGCTGAGTATGCCCCGTGTGGAACACATCTCACCACTAAAACAGTGGATGTGGCTCTTAATGAGACATGCCGCATTATCACGGGGTGTCTGCGCCCTACACCACTGGAGAAATTACACTGCTTAGCGGTATTGCACCACCTGACATCCGCCGGGAAGTGGCAGCCAATAGTGAAAGGACCAAGGCAGAGACATCTCCAGCTCATCCCCTGTTTGGGTATCAGCCAGCACGTCAACGACTTAAATCTAGAAATAGTTTTCTAAGATCTACAGAGACACTCGCTGGAACACCTCAGCAAGCGAGAGTCCAAAAGTGGCAGGCTCAAACCCAGAACCTCAAACCAATGGCTGATACCAAATGAGAGACTCCCCCCTGGGCACACAGAAAACTGGGCAACTTGGAAGGCGCTGAACAGACTGCGCTATGGCACCAAGATGCAGAGCCAACCTTTAGAAATGGGGCTACAAAGTGGAATCCTCGACATGCGAGTGTGGAGAGGAGCAAACCACTGACCACCTGCTGCAATGCAACCTGAGCCCTGCCACATGCACAATAGAGGACCTTCTTGCGGCAACACCAGAAGCACTCCAAGTGGCCAGATACTGGTCAAAGGACATTTAATCAACTACCAAACTCACAATTTTGTGTTTTCTCTGTTTGTTTGCTTTGTTCTGTTAGAAATGTAATATAACTTGACTGGCTGCCCTGACACGAGAAATATAAATAAATTTTGTGGAATCCTGAAATCTGTCATTTGGTGAGATACTTCTTGAGAGCTCTAAGTTCCTCATGAAACTACATATCCCAGGATTTCATAAGCTAGAATTCCACCAATAAGAATGATACCAAATTTCTGTAACTGTGTGCTGTTTATATAGTCACAGACACACAATTTACAGAGAGATGTGGATCTATGTCCTCTCTTTGATTACACTATGTAACAATTTTTTTTGGGGGGGAGGGGGAATTCATGGTTCAAAAATGTTATTTCCTTTTTAATTGTGCAATATTTACTTTGGAAGTAGTTGTTATACTCTAGAAACTGCCACAAACTATATTGATTTGGTTAAGACTCTAGGAAATATTTGTTGAAAAATTATAGCAAATAGTTTTGCAGGATGTCCTGCAAAAGCAAAGTTTTTGCAGTTTAATAAACCTTTTCCATGTCTTCATGATAGAACCAATTAAGAGAAAACATTTATAACCTAGGAACAAAAATTGTGTTATACAGTGTTATATTTGGCATGGGTTGGACTATTTGGACCATCTCAACCTTGCAGTCACATGCTGGGACAGACTTGGAAATTGCTTAATTTTTAGCAATTGTATTCCCTTCACAACTCATATTTGCATTGCTTCAAACTTTAGAAGTATCAGCTTGAAATGGAAGAATTGCAAAAATTACCACAGAACAACTTCCTGGATGGTGGTGTCTTGGCAGAGCATTAAAAAGGGAGCTAAATGCAGAACTCAGCAAATTTCAGTTGCCCAGTCTCAACTCAAACTGTTTGTTTTATGTCTGACATGATACTTCCAGCGAACCAATCATGATTGCAAGAGGAAGTGAATTAAATTGCCTGTTGATCTTTAACAGTTTAGTAGCTAAATGTTTATCCAGAGGAATTTTAAGATAAATAATGAAATACACTTTTGAAATATGTGACCATATAAAATTACTTTTTTGTGTTCCTGTTCCCATATTTCTCTAGATAGCATGGCCAGTAGTTACATGATAGTGGATTTTGAGTATTGGAATCCAAATCAGAAAAAGAATAAAAGAACTTTTCTAAACTCTGGAAACAACTGTGTTTTCAATATAATCATCTACACTTCTGAAGACACATTTCTTCTTGTTTTTCTTTTGAGAAAAAATAGGATAATCATATGGTAAATCTAAATTTCAGCAAGATAGCAAATGTAGAGAACTTCAGTTGGCATCTGTCAAGCACTGCATTATGTAAAGCAGCTGCTGCTTCATTCCTGGGCCAAGTCCAAACTGTCAGTTATATACACAGCTGTGCAATGGAACCGAGCTCTGAATAGTAGTTTCCACAGCATGAAGATCTTTCAGGTCAACCGGCATGTGCTTTAAAATGGAAAACAAAAGCAGCCCAGTAAAAACTCAAAGTAGGAATCCAGAGGAATTGAAACAGCTTCCCCGTGTCAGCTATAACATAACTTTTACTTTTAGAACTATATTTTGAAACTTCATTTTGGTCTCCTAAATTTGAATCTTGGAGCAAGAAGTGCTTACTTTATGTTACTCATATTTTTACTATTTATTTTTCTAGACTCCCACTCACTTGTTAGGATAGGAAGCACATGACATTTTCAAGTCCAACAATCATATTTGGGGCCCTTTTACACTACACAATTACAGATGGCAAGCTATTTAACCTCAGCAAACTGAAAGCCAAAACCAAGGTTACAGCAACATCTGTTATAGAACTCCAGTATGCTGATTACAACATCACCTGTGCGCATTCAGAAGAAGACCTACAAGCCACTCTAAACACCTTTGCAGAAGCATACAAGAAGCTCAGCCTGTCATTGAACATCGAGAAAACCAAAGTGATCTTCCATGACACCACCTCTCCACCAAAGTCAACATTGACACCAAAATACAACACCACCTGAGCTCTGCAAGTGCAGCATTTTTCTGAATGAAGCAGAGAGTGTTTGAGGACCGGGACATCCGTAGGGATAGCAAGGTGCTTGCTTATAAAGTTATTGTCCTCCCAACCCTGCTATATGCCTGTGAAATGTGGACTGTCTACAGACATCACATGCAGCTCCTGGAACTATTCCATCAGCGCTGCCTCCGGAAAATCCTGCAAATCTCTTGGGAAGACAAGTGGACAAATGTCAGCATGCAGGAAGAAGCAAAGACTCACTCCATTTTTTTGATAGTATATATAAACATATAACAAACAAAATACTCTCCTACTATCCAGATTAATCCCCTGTCCTCTCATTTTCTCAGCTGCTTATAAAATGTTCAATTTTCCTCCCATTTTCATCCATTGTGTTTGTCGCATTTCAGTTGCTAGAAACTGAGCTCAAAGTGCAAAGGGGCTTTCACGTGTGTCCCAAGTTTCATATGTGAAGTGTATGAGGTTGATTTATAATGTTCTGTTTTACATAGGGAAAGCCCATGGGTGATCAATCATATGATTAGACTTTTATGCAAATTGTTCATGCCAATTTGTGCTTGACCTGGATAGTTCCCGGCTAGTGTCACATTCAGTAATGTCATAGTGCTCTCTTTACATGAACCATATTTGAAGATGGGTGAAATTATTACAAGAGTATCCTATGGAATGACTAATTATCTTTTTTGCTTATATTGTGTTCCTTCTGTCTTGCAGGACAAGAGGCTGTTAAGCACGACAAAGACGTTCTTCACAAAAAAACAGGTACATACTTTGTTTTCAGTTGTCATTTTCATTCCAAAGGGCTTTCACTAGCTATACAGAAACTAGCAATAACACTATGCTTATTATACCCAGCCATTTGGCAATGTAGGAAGCAGAGCTGACAAATTCAGCAGAATAATGTGGCCTTGGGTGCCTGGCATTATTCCTGTTATACACTTAAGCCAATTTTTTCTTTAAAAATAATCAAGCCGCTTACTCATGTATAAGGACAAAATGCTTCCTCATCTCTAATCAAGTAAGTAATGACCTTCAGCAAGAATCTAGATAGGATGTGATTGTTCCACACTCAGATTTTTTTTCAAAAACATTTGCAATATTAGAAACAATTTTTAAAAACCTCATTGAACAACAAAGAATCAAGGCAAAATGGAAATGAACTACATACTGATTGGGAGAATTTAAAGCTGATTAAAAGAGGAATTCATTTGATGAAGAAAATCAATAAAACAATGAAAGGACTGATGTGCTTTTGCAAGATGAATGATGTTCACTTAGCTATTGACAAAAGCAATTGAAGGGACCCATGTTGAATAAAAGTCTTCAACATGAGGTATATGATATATATTGTATCACAGGAAGCTATGTACCAGATAGTTGTGCTACTATCAGATATAATAATAATAATAATAATAATAATAATAATAATAATAATAATAATAATATTTCTATCCTGCCACCATCACCCAAAGGGACTCAAGGTGGCTCACAAAACACTCAAGGTGTGACATGCAAAATACAAAAAGTGCAAAACAAAACATACAGGTAGACAATAAACAATCAACACCACGTGATAAATTCACAGTACCCCCTGGTAAAAACAATAAAATACAGTAATTGCTGTAGATAAAAAAGCAGTATTCAATCTCAGAAGTATAAAGTGCTAATAAAGAATCTAAAGGTCCTCATATATATTATTAGAAAGTCTAAAACATGGTCGAAGGCTTGTTGGAAAAGCCAGGTCTTTAATTGTGTGTGGAAGGTTTGGAGGGTTGGGGCTAGAGTTTGGCTTTCAAAGTTTGGTAGCAACTTACAAGAAACCCTAATAATGATGTGTTCAGCTATAAACAGAGCCAGTATCAGAACAGTTCACACAGGACTGCCAAGGCTGATATTGCTCACTAAACCATGCTTTTAAAAGCATTATGTTAAATAACGTATCAGTCAAGGAGGTGTTTAGCTGGGCACATATATGGTTACATCTGTTCATTTGATTATTTTCATTTTAAAAACAATATTACTTTTTCTGCAGTAAAATGATATTTATGTTTGTGTAAATTTTGTTCAACACCCAGGAAGCAGAAGTAAATTGTATATCATTCCTGTGGACATGAAAGTGCTGATTTAACTGAGTTTTATGTGCACAACTGTGTTGATTTATAGTTCTCATTCTCTTTTAATACAGGTAGAAAAATGGGGGATGTTACTGTTCTGCTGCCAAGAATATAGAAACAATCAAAATTGCTTCTACATGATAGTGGTGAAAGGGGAATAGCAATGTTAGTCAGGGATAGTTAGGGCGTAATAACCTCATTCCTCACTGATAACTATACTGTGTCATTCACAACTGTAGAAATGCACATGGCAACCCAAAATTGTTCCATAAGGCAATGAAATCCAGGATCTAAAATTACCTAGTTCCAGACTCTTGTCAAATGGCCACCCTGAGTCCCCTTGGGAAGATAGTGCAGGCTACAAATAAAGTATTATTACTATTAAATATAGGTTTACCAACAAAGTGGGAATTATATGCAAACAGCCAGGCAGATATGTGTGGAGTAAATACATGGAAAGACAATTGGTTCGTTGGACAAGAAACGTTGGCTGCAGAAATCTGCCTGATAATTACAGTTTTAATTAATATTTCACCCTAAAGATTTTGTTGTCTCAGATAGTTTCTGATTTCCCCCCCTTTCTTCCAGCCAAGCCCAAAGAAACTGCAAGTATGTATTACACTATAGTTATAGCAACTGCAAACAATTAGGATTACCTCACTTGATTTTTGTTTCCAACCTGCAATCCTCTAAAATATGTAGCCATGCAGACCTTTATTTGTTGACTTTGTGAATGATGCCATTACTACCACTGTGCCAGTTTTGAAGTATAGTCATCCCTCCATGTTTGTTGGTGTTAGAAGCACAGAACCCTACAAAGACAAGATAATGAAAGCATTACGAAGACAAGCATCCTCACTAAAATACCAGGAGACACCAATACAGATTTTTCCAGATCTGTGCCCTGAAACTTTGGAGTGGTGGAAATCCATTTGCCAATGTACCACCATTTTACAAAGCCAGAAAATTCAGTACAACTGGGGTTACCCGGTTTTCTTGAGGTTTCGCTGGAGAAATAATAACTATAAAATTACGTCTCTAGATCAGGGTCTAGTATTGCTGAATGAACTGAACTTGACAAATGGGACAATAGATACAACACAGATAGAAAAGAAGGGAGGGGAGTAAGAGAAAGAGAAACCGGATCTGGCGACTGGAAAAGAAGACTAATATGGACCAAGACAGGAAGGAAAGAGACTGTGAGAAGGACTGACTAATTATTAGTATAAAATATGCAATCCTACTAGTTAAGGCATTATAAGAATACCCTGGGAGATATCGGAATGAGTGCACTCAGATGGAGGATGGGTCCCCTCCCCCCACCCCAAAATGGTTTGGAGTAAACCAGGTTCGAGACAAGTAGTCTTTGAACATAGTGGGGTGAAAGGAATAGGGGGAGAAGAACACTACACAAGGGAAGGGAGGGAAGGGAGGGAAGGGAGGGAGAGGGGGGTAAAACAGGGGGAGCACGAATTAGGGACCAGCCAAGTAAGAGGATAAGTAGAATGGTAAAGGAATGGGGGAACACCTGAGGATCGTATCTTTGAACTGTAAAGGTTTGGGCTCGATTTATAAAAGGAAAACCATTGCAGATTTGATTTATAAAGCTAAAGCTCATCTTGTATTCTTACAAGAGACACACCAATCCAAACCAAAGGTGAACGAGCTTAAGATGCGGGGATCTGTAACGTATATAAAATCATATGGAACATCTAAATCGAGAGGTGTGGCAATTATAATCCAAAATCAATGTGGTTTCAATATAAAGGAAACAAAGATAGATGAGCAAGGAAGATATATTATTATACAAGGGACAATGGGGAATGAGGATTTCACCTTTGCTAATGTATATGCTTCAAACACTAACCAAGCGGAATTTTATGAAACAATATTTAAAGAAATAGAGGGAATACAAAAAGGGTATTTGATCATAGGAGGGGATTTCAATGGAATAATGGATGAGGAAATGGATAAATCCCACCACACAAAGAAAGGGAAAGGGAAAATGCAAAATAGAACAACTCTAAATAGAATAATAAGGAATAAAAATATGGTTGATATTTGGAGAACGTTAAAGGGGAATGAGAAAAGATTTACCATTCGACAGCTCATCAATTTTTTTCTAGAATTGATTATTTTTTTGTTTCACAACAAGTACTGCCCAAAGTACTAGATACTAGAATAGGGGTAATAAGATGCTCAGACCATGCATTAATAAGCTTGGATGTGCAAATAAAGAAGGATTACCAAACATATAAGAATTGGAAGATAGGAAATGCAGTATTAGAGAATAGTAAGATAGTGGGAAAAATAACCAAAGAATTAGGAGATATCTGGGAAATTAATGATAACAACCAATGCTCTTATGCAACTGTGTGGGATGCAATGAAAGCAGTATCAAGGGGCCTGTGCATAAAAGAAGCATGCAACCTAAGAAGAGAGCAAGAAGCAGAGAGAAGGAATTTAGAATTAGAAATCCAAGAACTAGAAAAGAGATACATAAGGGAAAAAGATAAACAAAGTTATCTTAAAGCAATGGCCAAAAGGAAAGAATTGGATAAACACGACTTGGAAAAAGTACAGAGAGATTTAATATACACGAAAAGGGAATATTTTGAATATAGCAATTGGAACTCTAGGATGCTCTGCTAAAGCAGCACAAGATAAGAAGAATAAGAACATAATTGGAACTATAAAAGATAAGTGGGGTAGGGAAATCATATCAATGAAGGAAAAGCTAGCTGTCTTCCAAGAATTTTATCAAAAATTATATACAGCAGTGGATAACCCCAACAACAAAATAGAGGGGGTTATAGATAAATACTGGAAAATAAAATTACAGGAGATGCATAAAATGAGTATGGAACAATTAGTAACAGAAAAAGAGATAGGAGACGCTATAGATAAATTGAAAGGAGGGAAGACTCCTGGAATGGATGGGCTAGGACCGGAATATTATAAAAAATTTAAATCAATTTTAGTACCAAAATTAAAAGAACTATATAATAGGATAATGGAAGGAGAACAGATCCCTTCATCATGGCAGGAATCAAGGATCATATTAATTCTAAAAACAAATAAAGATCCTAAAGATCCTGGTTCATATAGACCTATTGCCCTTATAAATCAAGATGCTAAAATATTGACGGCAATAATGGCAAAGAGATTAAATAACTTTATATATAATTATATTAATAAAGATCAATGTGGATTTATTCCTGGTAGACAAATGTCAAACCCAGTGGGAAGAGTACTAAATGTGATTCATACAATTAAGAAAAAGAATATTAAAGCAGGGATATTGGCCCTAGACATATTTAAAGCATTTGATTGTGTCTCATGGCCGGCATTAAAAAAAATATTAGAAAAATTTGGTTTAGGAGAGAGATTTAGAGGACTGATTGAGAGACTATATTCAACCAACTATGCAACTATACAAGTAAACGATGGCCTTACTGGGAAAATAAGATTGACTCGAGGAACAAGACAAGGATGCCCCCTCTCTCCTACCCTGTTCGCAATAGTCATAGAAATGCTAGCAAATATGATACGAGAGGATAAACATATAAAGGGGATAGGGAAGGAGGGAAGATACAAAATATGTTTATTTGCAGATGATACACTACTAACCTTCAGAAAGCCATTAGA